CTGTGAAGCGCTTTGTGTTGCCCTGTGCATGAAAGGCGCTCTACAAATAAACTTTGATTGATTGATTGATTGATTTTCACGATCGTTTTTTGACGCAGAGAAATAGTATTTTTGTGATGAAGACAAGACCAGAAAATTCTGAAATCCTCCGTGCACGTGTGTGAAGAATGTATATGTATAAGTATTCTCCGATTAACATTTAAGTGTGTTGATTGAGCGTTCCGGAGTGGCCGGAACTACTTGCGGAGTTATCCACGCAGGCCTGTCGCAAGGGGGGTGCGAGGCCCTGTGCGAACTTGAAACGCGAGGCCCTGCCCTGACACCTTTTTCCCAGATCTCAGGAAAGTTTTTCATGTTATAATATTTGACATGAATTCAGCACCGCCTCGCGCTGTGCGTGAAGAGATCAGCACGCGCGCAGACGTGTGTCCTCGCTCCAATGCAGCGTCGCACGCACACACGCACGCACCCACACACAAACTGTTACCGCGCTTGGCTTTGGCATATTGGTCGCGGTCTTTTTAGCTGACATGGCTCTTTCGTCCTGTGGCAAAATGGCAGCAACTCAAAAGATTGAACCAAAAGGAGTCTTCTTCTTTTTCTAATTGTTAGATTACGGCAAAATGCGCCAAAATGGCTATGAGGCGGAGTCAATATTTGTTATTTTTTTCCTCATCAAATAACGTTTTTGCCACAACATACGCTCCTTCTCCTGCTCCTCCTCCTCCACACACTCTGACCACATTTTTATGCCCAAAATCCACTTCACTCACAGTAGCATGAACGTTGGACATACAGTGTTTGCTAATGCTTTTATAATATGTTTTTGATGTGGATATTCGGGCTCAACATTGACAATAACAGCGCTCACACACCTGTTTCGCAGCTCCTCCTCTTCCTCCTCTGGTCACACTCCTCTCTCCTCCTCCTCACACGGAAGACGCGAGTATCCATCTCTCCGTACACTGGGCTCATTCCCGTTACTTTCTTCACTCAGACACTGCTAGTTATCTGACAGCTCCGTAAAGTTTTTTTTCGGAGGACCCGCTGCGTACATAGCTGCCCTCGCGCCTGCCTGTTTACAAATTGCTTTTGGTGAAAATTTGACTTCACTTGTAATAATGTACTTTTGAACAAAAGAAATCAGAGGTCCAGAGAAAGGGGATTAGGGGTCCGAATTTGGAGCGCAGTCCGCCCTTTGGGGACTCTTGAACTAGTATATTTATTTAATAAAAAAAATAAAAAAAGGAAGTATTGCGAGGCCCTGTGTGGTGCGAGGCCCTGTGCGACGGCACAGGTCGCACAGCCCTTCCGACGGGCCTGTATCCACGCATTTGAAAGACAAGCAGAGAGTGCGTTGCCAAAGGGCAGCGGTCATTATTGTTTTGAGAGGTCCGTTATAGACAATAATGACCGGTAGAACGTTTTGAAATGACATTCAAATCAATGGTTCTCCTGCTGCTGTGAGGAGCTGTATAATAAATATATTTGCTTTATGTAATGGTGATTTATAAACATTGGTCGTCTGCCTCTTATGGACCAATGACCATGTGTTCTTTACCATTGCGTAGTGATACAAACCACTATAAATATAAGCATTTTATTGTCATTCATGTTTTTGTTATTTGTCTCTTGCGTTTCAATGCAAATGCAATTTTAGTTTAAAAGACAAAAATATCGCAATAACATCGATAATAATAATAATAATACTAAACGTCTCAATAAGAAGGTCCTGGGTTCGAATCCCGGTCAGAACAGTGTCTTTTTGAGTGGAGTTTGCATGTTCTTCCCGTGCCTGCGCAGGTTTTCTTCCGGGTGCTCCAGTTTCCCCTACCACTGAAAACATGCACACTGTAAACCCCCCAGCTGCGGCAGTCCTGACCAAGATGGGTTCCCGGGCGCTGTTACTACGGCGACCACTGCTCCTGATTGACGCCCTCGTGGCATCAGGGTGGGTCAAATGCAGAGGAGTAGCCCCATGTGGAAAGATCAAGTGAATCCCTGCAATTACAGTTAATTCCTGTGTTAGAACTGTTTGATTCTCTGATCTGCGTTTGCGAATCGACGGCTTTGTGAGGTCCTCCGAGAAAACTACTGTTGTGATTTAGAGGTGCACAAAAATACATTGAATTGATTTGAACTGTTTTTTTCTTTCATATTTGTTCTGATTTCTGTCCAATGTCTGCAATAAAGAGCAGGGTATGTTTTGGTCAAACATTTCTCAAACCTTTTCAACGCTCCAGTGCGAGAGTAACAAGTGACGCAGACCTCTGCAGAGGAAACGAGGACATGGGTGATATGAAAGAGCCCTAATCAGGATCGCTTTATACTGCCTGTAATTACACTATAATTATTGTGATTGGAAGAGAAACCCCTTTACTGTAACTTTCAGAGCGACGGCAGCGGTTATGTCCTTTTAGCTTGGCTTTCATCATTGACCTTAAAACATTACTTAGAAACGTAAGCCAACCTTTAAACAAAAAAGTGTGTGTTTTCATAATAATATTAAAAACAATAAATATGAAATAGTCTACGGCATTAGTGCAATTTAGTTGATCAAGATCCCCATTAGCCACTTAGCTGCAGAAGCTATTCTTCCTGGTGTCTTCTCAAAATCCCTACATACACATATACGTACAGTATATTTACATGAATACACAAACACATGCTGTTGACGTGTCCGTGTACGACGCCTCGCCTCGACCCGAGCCAATACGCTGTTATTAATTGAGAATGAGTCTATGGAAGAATGATTATAAGGCCATGATTTATGAAATGTGGTAATTAAAAGCAGGGCGAGGACGTGGAGATGGCATCTGGGGAGCAGCAGGAGAAAAGAACGAATGATGCAGAACAAATTCTTCTTTTTCTCAGTGTCTGGAAAATTGTTTCATGACTCAATGTGTTGCCATTAACAAAAACCCAGGCACGAACCTGCACCTGCATCGAGACGCTTTATTACAGAGGATTCAAACACTGGGAGTTCTCATCCCGATCACAAATGAACGCTGTTGAGGAACTGGAGGAAGTGTAATAAATCTGAATCACTCTGTATTTGTCGTCCACGTTTCATACAAACAGAAACAGTGGTTCATAGAAACATAGTATCTTTTCAATGTAACTGAACATGATCCAGACTGGCTTTTAACACCTTTAACACTCATTAGTGGCACGGTGGCTGAGTGGATAGCACTCTCGCCTCTCAGCAAGAAGGTCCTGGGTTCAAACCCCGGTCGGACCAGGGCCTTTCTGAGTGGAGTTTGCATGTTCTCCCCATGTCTGCGTAGGTTTCCTCCGGGTGCTCCGATTTCCCCTACCACTAAAACCATGTACAATAGGTCTGTGCCTCCTGTACTGGCCCCTCCCATCTCTGTGTGGACCGCTTTACCTTTTGATTTTTTGATTGCAAGAATGTTTTAATGGTTTTATGTGATTTTACTGTAAAGCACTTTTGTTGAGTGTTGAAAAGGGTAGATCCCCCAGACTGAATTAAAAATTGATAGTTCATAAAAACTGACCCACTCCAAACAACAGACCTGGAAAAACCCACAGACACCAAGATTAAAGATAGTAAAAACCTACAGTCATAAAAACATTTGGTATGATTTACTCTTGTCGATTGTGAGCAGGATACTTGCACAAGTCTTGAAACATTTCTAATAAACACAGTTGGTACAATCTCAACCAATCAAGTCGGCAGTAGGCACTCAAGTATACAAGTACATAAAGTTAGGTCTTGGGGAACAAAAAATCAGTTTTTAAAAAGTCTAGAAAACGTCTGTAATTTTAATTTGGAAAAAGAGCAAGAACCCAGTGTGAGGCTAAACTCTAAACTCTCTGTGAGCGGGTTAGAACTCTCTCCTCTTCAGGTTTTGTCGTAGGTAGATCACCAGATTCTGACAAAGCCGTCTTTCAGAACCGATACTACACATGTCCAGGTACAGGAGACTTTTAATTCTACATATTTCTAAAGAATACAAAACCTTTCAGTACAAAAAGAAAGGTTTTTGTCTAAACACGTCGTTTCTGCGAATTCACTGTCCTGACGGCCAAAGATTGAACTGACGAGGTTCCAGGTTTTTTAAGATATTTTAATTATTTGACTACAGTTTGAAGCCTCTCATTCGGAGCCTCCTGGAACACACCCTGATGAAATAGTCCCTCGAAAAGCCGGAGTCACCAGATAAGAAAGTGTGGAGGACACGAGGGGCGAGTTGGTTTTCTTCATCAGTAAAAATAGGCTAATGCTAACAGCTGTGTATGTTTGTGGAAAATGGGTCAGAGCGTTGCATGATCAAATCCCTGTTTGTTCTGCCTTCGTTTGTCTGCCTCTTGTTAGCGCCAAAACTGGTTCATTACGTTTCATTTTTAACCAGCTCTCGCACTAGAAGCCAGTAAAGTTACGAAAGGCTTTTGCGAATCGTGCCATAGAAAGTCAAGCCCCTTCTCTTTTCAAATGGATTCTCTGGAGTCAGCTGGTAATGAGATGTGTGAGTGCATCGGAAGTTTTACACCAGAAAAGTTCAATATCTAAAACAATAAAGTGTGAGTAATTGTGCTCGCGTTTCAAAAGGTTAGTGGAGGCCGTTTTAAGTGAGCGCTGCATGATTCATGATTTCTAAAACACTCAAGCCGAGAGAGTCTTAATTGCTCTGTTCCAATTCAGGCCCACTTTAATGTTTAATACAGCAAATAGGTTCCAAATCCAGGAGCTTAAGAAGAAGGAGCCGCAGCTTTTGTTTCATCATAAAAATCCTGTAGAGTTCTTAATCTACTCGTCAAAGACTGCCAGCTTTTCTGTGCGTTGTTTTGTAATTAGCAGTGAATGTGGAATTGTAAATTGTGATTTAGCTGTATTTACTTGATCAACAAAAATGTGTTTCATTGTTTTCTGATGCTTCACACATATTTCTCAACATGTAAATACTTATTTCAAGCAAGAAATGTCTGAGTGGTTAGCAGGTTAGCACTCGCTAGATTCTGCCATATAAAGATTCTGACTAAGGCTGGACGTCGTTCAGAACCTGCCGATACAATACACATCGAGATACAGGGTATCCTCTGTACTCCTGTATCCTCTGTACGTATCCTCTGTACTCCTGTATCCTCTGTACGTATCCTCTGTACTCCTGTATCCTCTGTACGCCTGTATCCTCTGTACGTATCCTCTGTACTCCTGTATCCTCTGTACTCCTGTATCCTCTGTACGCCTGTATCCTCTGTACGTATCCTCTGTACTCCTGTATCCTCTGTACGCCTGTATCCTCTGTACTCCTGTATCCTCTGTACGCCTGTATCCTCTGTACGTATCCTCTGTACTCCTGTATCCTCTGTACGCCTGTATCCTCTGTACGCCTGTATCCTCTGTACGCCTGTATCCTCTGTACGCCTGTATCCTCTATACGCCTGTATCCTCTGTACTCCTGTATCCTCTGTACGCCTGTATCCTCTGTACGTATCCTCTGTACTCCTGTATCCTCTGTACGCCTGTATCCTCTGTACTCCTGTATCCTCTGTACGCCTGTATCCTCTGTACGCCTGTATCCTCTGTACGCCTGTATCCTCTGTACGTATCCTCTGTACTCCTGTATCCTCTGTACGCCTGTATCCTCTGTACGCCTGTATCCTCTGTACGCCTGTATCCTCTGTACGCCTGTATCCTCTGTACGCCTGTATCCTCTGTACGCCTGTATCCTCTGTACGCCTGTATCCTCTATACGCCTGTATCCTCTGTACTCCTGTATCCTCTGTACGTATCCTCTGTACTCCTGTATCCTCTGTACGCCTGTATCCTCTGTACGCCTGTATCCTCTGTACGCCTGTATCCTCTGTACTCCTGTATCCTCTGTACGCCTGTATCCTATGTACGCCTGTATCCTCTGTACGCCTGTATCCTCTGTACTCCTGTATCCTCTGTACGCCTGTATCCTCTGTACTCCTGTATCCTCTGTACTCCTGTATCCTCTGTACGCCTGTATCCTCTGTACGCCTGTATCCTCTGTACGCCTGTATCCTCTGTACGCCTGTATCCTCTGTACTCCTGTATCCTCTGTACTCCTGTATCCTCTGTACTCCTGTATCCTCTGTACTCCTGTATCCTCTGTACTCCTGTATCCTCTGTACGCCTGTATCCTCTGTACGCCTGTATCCTCTGTACGCCTGTATCCCCAGTGCAAAGCGTCTGTTTCTCCGATCAGCTGCAGCGCTCTCTTCTGCAAAGCGCTGGACGTAGTCACCAAGAAAACGATTAGCTTGTGTCGCCGACGGCAACGTGAGATTTATCTGCAGCTAGCGACTCAAATCTGCGTCCGACTTCACCAAGAGTTCGACGTCATGTGTTCAGATGGCTTCGACAATAACCCAGCGCCCGCACCGGCAAACTTTCCCAAAGTCGTCCGGACGCCAATCACTTTGAGCTTGATTCTTTAACTCTTGCCGTGCCGCTATCAATCACAGATTACTCAGAAACATGATTTTCCGCTTGGCCACACGGCTCGGACTCCGCCGTTATGGTGGCGGGCAGGAGAAAGCTGACCAATGGCAAAGAGCGCATGAATGTGCTCATACAAACACTAAACGCCTGCTCAGGGAGAAAGGCAATAATTACATCCATAACTCAGTTTACAGCAGGAGCAGAGAATCAGACGCTTCTCTTTAAAAGACTTTACTATCTCTGAGTCTACACACGGCAGAAAACCATTGCATTGAATGATCACAGTCATGAATACAGATTAATTACACAAACCGAACGGGCGCGTACGGCAAAAGGAACGAGGGTTTATGTGATTGAAAGCGGGGATACTAGCACTCTTTTCATGAATTAAAGAGTCAAATAAGACCTTGCAACTGTAAGCTATGTTACTACAATACCACTGTAGAAGAATGAATTGGTTTTATATATAGCACTTTAATTGGACACTCAACGTTCGGCACTTTACAGCCGCAGCCGTCCCACTGTGGCACCCAGAGGTCTCACATCACATTACTGATCAGGCCCTGAACTGCTTAACTTCAGAGGTCTGACGTGATCTGGCTTCCGGATGCAAATATGGCCACTATAGAGCTCCAAAGTCTATATCACAGACACAGACAAGACAATACATATGCTGTAAGTTCAAAGATACAAGTTTAAAATGAGAGAGAAAATGTAAAACATATCAAATCCCACCTACTCAATATAATAAAACATATCAGTGCATTATTTTGTATTTCTTGTTCTTCTTACTCTTACTAAACACATATGAATGTGGATGAAACCAACACAAATTTTCAAATCTTTCAAACTTAAATGTATTCATCCATTCTCTGTTTTCAAATACGCTTTTTATGTTGCCATTTTGTTAGAAAAAATGTAACATGTGAGAAAGACCCCTGAGTGGTCAGCTGATCTACAGACATGGGACCAATGTGTGTGAAAACTACAGACATGGGACCAATGTGTGTGAAAACTACAGACATGGGACCAATGTGTGTGAAAACTACAGACATGGGACCAATGTGTGTGAAAACTAGTGATAGATGTACCGCATTATTTAATAACATTGGGCCTCATTCACGAACGGTTCTTAGGAACAGATTTGTACGTAAATCCTACTTACGAGGTTTTTACGAAGAAAGTGGCATTCACGAATTTTTCTCGTAACCAGAATTTCTCTTGGGCAAGTCCTCAGGAGCACTCGTACGCATTCAGTGCCGACATGTTCACACGCCGGGGTTGTCCTCTTTGGTGAAGTTTAATAAAAATACAACATTCCAGTGATATGTCCGTCATATCGATGTATGTATTTATTTATTTGTAGTAATCTATATTAGTAATCTTTATTTATATACCGCCTTTTTCACTGCAGATCTGGCCTACTTTTTAATTCATTTTGAAATGAAATGTGCCAACGCTTTATCAAATACATTGGAAATCTTGCCGTGTATTAGTGACCCCTTCCTATTTATAGGGGGCATTTCTTTATCCACGGGCCACAGAACAACGGCATATATACTGCTGCTGCAGGAGGTTACTGGGTCCGCGCTGAGTCTCTGCGCTGGTCTCTCCTATGGATCTATACGGGTCTGCACTGGTCTCTCCTATGGATCTATACGGGTCTGCACTGGTCTCTCCTATGGATCTATACGGGTCTGCACTGGTCTCTCCCATGGATCTATACGGGTCTGCACTGGTCTCTCCTATGGATCTATACGGGTCTGCACTGGTCTCTCCCATGGATCTATACGGGTCTGCGCTGGTCTCTCCCATGGATCTATACGGGTCTGCGCTGGTGTCTCCCATGGATCTATACGGGTCTGCACTGGTCTCTCCCATGGATCTAGACGGGTCTGCACTGGTCTCTCCTATGGATCTATACGGGTCTGCACTGGTCTCTCCCATGGATCTATACGGGTCTGCACTGGTCTCTCCCATGGATCTATACGGGTCTGCACTGGTCTCTCCCATGGATCTATACGGGTCTGCACTGGTCTCTCCCATGGATCTATACGGGTCTGCACTGGTCTCTCCCATGGATCTATATGGGTCTGCACTGGTCTCTCCCATGGATCTATACTGGTCTGCACTGGTCTCTCCCATGGATCTATACGGGTCTGCGCTGGTGTCTCCCATGGATCTATACGGGTCTGCACTGGTCTCTCCCATGGATCTATATGGGTCTGCGCTGGTGTCTCCCATGGATCTATACGGGTCTGCACTGGTCTCTCCCATGGATCTATACGGGTCTGCGCTGGTCTCTCCCATGGATCTATACGGGTCTGCGCTGGTGTCTCCCATGGATCTATACGGGTCTGCACTGGTCTCTCCCATGGATCTATACGGGTCTGCACTGGTCTCTCCCATGGATCTAGACGGGTCTGCACTGGTCTCTCCTATGGATCTATACGGGTCTGCACTGGTCTCTCCCATGGATCTAGACGGGTCTGCACTGGTCTCTCCCATATACGGGTCTGCACTGGTCTCTCCCATGGATCTATACGGGTCTGCACTGGTCTCTCCTATGGATCTATACTGGTCTGCACTGGTCTCTCCCATGGATCTAGACGGGTCTGCACTGGTCCTCTCCCATGGATCTATACGGGTCTGCACTGGTCTCTCCATACGGGTCCGTGCTGCATGCTCCTGGATCCATACGGGTCCGCGCTGGTCTCTCAAGTCTGGTCTATGCGGTCTATCTTCGGTCCGCGCTGGTCTCTGCGCACCGGTCTCTCCAGTCAGGTCACTCCAGTCTATGCGGTCTCTCCGATAGGTCCGCTCTGGTTTCTGTGTGCTGGTCACTCCAGTCTCTCCTCGGGTCTGCATTGATCTCAGCGCTGGTCCGCGCTGGATCTCCTCCCAGGGTCCAAAATATTTTGAGATTAATCTCAAAACATTTTGAGATTCATCTTTAAAATAATACATAATATATTTTTAAATTAAGCTCATAACATTTTGAGATTAATCTCATCATATTCTTAGATTAATCTCATAATTTTGCTAGTTCGACTTTATTCTCATAATATTTCAACTTTTAAGTCAACATTTTATAACTTTATTCTCAGTCTGGCAAAAGAAGAAAAAAGGGTGACTCTTTTGCTTCGTGTAACTCTTGACTTTAGGCCTGTTGCTGTTTCCTCAGCCGTCTGCACACGGCCCTGCAGTCCCTTTTATGGGCATTAATGGGCGGTTACCTATGCTAAGTACCTATGCTAATGAATCACCTGGCACGCGCGCTCTACTTACGAGGAGTTGGCATTCATCAATCTGAGAGAACAGCTGCGAACAATTCAGCGGCTTACGAGTGCGTTGAAGAATCCCACGTAGGCTCTTCTTAGAAATCTACATAAGGACAACTTGAGAAGAAATTTGAGAAGTTTCTTACGAAGTTATTCGTGAATGAGGCCCATTGTTTGTGGTTTGAATGTTGTTCGCCTCGAGGGACGAAAAGTCTGTAAATCATGAAACACAAAAACCGACTTTTGGCAAAAAAATTGGAGTTTGTAGAGGGCCACAGACAGACTCTCCTCTGACAGGTCGACTCCAGCCACAGACAGACTCTCCTCTGACAGGTCGACTCCAGCCACAGACAGACTCTCCTCTGACAGGTCGACTCCAGCCACAGACAGACTCTCCTCTGACAGGTCGACTCCAGCCACAGACAGACTCTCCTCTGACAGGTCGACTCCAGCCACAGACAGACTCTCCTCTGACAGGTCGACTCCAGCCACAGACAGACTCTCCTCTGAGTCTGTTTCATGAACTTATAAAGTTTCTGATCATAGCATTCAGAGTGGCACAAGGAACTTTGGTGCGGAGCCACAGAGAGACTCGCACACAAACATTTCACGTTTTGTTGTTATTTTTCACCCGTGGACGTGCCTACAGGTCATTAGATCGATCAATAACCCGGCCTCATTCAGAGCTTCTAACGGTCTGCGTGCTTCTGTCGTCCACAGGTGAGCGAGAACGCCAAAAAGGACCTGAAGGACGGCCTGGCTTTGTACAACTCCGAAAACAACATAGGCCTTCGAAACGCCTGGAACATCATTCAGGCCGAGGTGCGTGACATGAAAAGAGACATTAGCATTATAAAAACCGACGCCAAAGCTAACACATTCATTTCAAATATGCAAAATTATTCCCGCTAATGTGCTATCTGGCATTACTTCTGCTTAAACAAATGCTAATTAAAACACTTAGCTTTGATGTAATGCTTTTGAATGTGTGTGTGTGTGTGTGTGTGTCTGTGTCTGTGTGTGTGTGTGTGTGTGTGTGTGTGTGTGTGTGTGTGTGTGTGTGTGTGTGTGTGTGTGTGTGTGTCTGTGTGTGTGTGTGTTTGCCAATAGTGGAAATGCTGCGGAGTCATTGCTTACACAGACTGGCACGAGGCGCTGAAGGAGAAGGTAGTTCCGGACCGATGCTGCCAAGAGCATTACCAAAACTGTGGGCGCAATTCTACAAACATGTTCTGGAACCGGGTGAGTTCAGGGTCTTTAACATCTGCAAAATCCTTCATTAAAAGAAGGAACACCGGGTAATATTGTAGGTTGATGGGCCGCATTCCATTTTAGGACACACAGCCTTTGTTGTTTATGCGACTACGACTTACAAACAAAATAGAATTACGGCGATAAGATGTGTCATTTCCTTCGTTGCTATGAGGGACCAATAAACAAAAAAATAGCAAACGTAATGTTGCTTATTTTCCCCCAAAATGTAGAGAAAAGAAAAATATGATATTGTAATAATGCATACTACTACTGAAGCCACAGCTGCCCTGGGGCACACCGGCAGAAGGCGAGGCCACCAGTCTGTGTCATCGGCCCCTCGGAGCACCAACAACCATTCACTCACACACCAGACTCATTCTCAGCAATTCGGGGTGAGGTGTCTTGCCTCAGGACACAATGACAGTTTGGTTCCCAGAGGTCTCCCATCCATAGACTGTAAATATGAACACACGTAGTGACACCTATTTCCTCCGTTGAAATGGATGTGGCACAAAATTCAAAATGGCCGCTGGAAGCCCCTCCCGCAGGAAAATGCGTATACTTTAGCCGGCACAAACCCGATTCATTTAAGCCAAGAGCCGACTTTTGGATCATCCTGTAAACCCGTTTTCTAGAGGAAAGACGGCGTCGTTAGAATGCACTGGATAGGGGACTTCCGGGTTGGGCGTGTGTCATGGCGGCAGCATAGAGAATCAGCTCTCCGACGAAAAATAGAAGACCCCCCTGAAAGTTGTATTTTTTCCGATTTTACTTTAACCAAGGCCAAGCAGTAGTGAAGGGGGGTTATTATGACAAAAGGGAGATCAAGACAAACAAAAACCAACATTGGAAAGCACGTCGAGGAAGCAGAAGAGCGACCTAAGCTAACGGCTACAACGTGCCCTGCGGAACCTGGGCTAGCAGCTGCATTAGCCGCGAGTAAGCTAACAGGGGAGCAGCCGCTGGAAACGATGGCTGATCTCCAAACTGTACTTCAGGAAATTAAGGATTTTCGAAGAGAGAATGCAGAATCTTTCAAGGAGCTAAAAGAGGACATTAAAAACACGAACATCCGAGTTGAAGAGGCAGAAAGGCGCATTATGGAGTCGGAGGGGCGCATCCAGATGATTGAAGATGCTACTCTTGAGCTACTGGAGCTGCAAAAGCAAACCTTGTCCAGACTGACGGACCAAGAAAGCCGCTCCAGAAGAGACAATATCAGGATTCACGGGGTAAAAGAAGGTGCTGAAGAAGGGTCTCAGTCAATGATTGACTTTATTGTGACCCTGCTGAAAGAGAAGTTGGACCTGGCGCCGTCACTTGACCTCATTGTCGAAAGAGCCCACCGAGCCTTAGCCGCTCGACCACCGAATGAGGCCCCGCCAAGATCAATAGTGGTAAAGCTGCAAAGTTACAGAACCAAGGAAGCCATTATAACGGCAGCGTGGCAGAAAAAGGGCTTCATGTATGAGGGAAGGAAGATAATAATTGACCACGATTATGCACCGGAGATTTTGAAACAGCGGAAGCTATATACGGAGGCAAAGAGAGTGCTTAGGGAACGTAAAATACGCTTCCAGACGCCATTCCCAGCAAAACTTTGTGTCTTTTATGATGGGGAGACGCAAATGTACAACACAGCAGCGGAGGCGACTAAGGATATGGCCACAAGAGGATACCAGGTCTCGGTGGTGCCACCAGAAGAGGACAGGTTTGAGAAGATGAGTCGCATCTGGAGTCGGGCTGAGGGAAGAGGACGTCAGGCGGACGCGCGACCTGGATACATGCAAAAGCTCGATGTTTACAGAAGATCAGTTATGGAGTGACGTAAACTCAGGAAGGTGAGAAAGAACTACTAGTAAAAAGACTCATTTCAATTCTCCATTTGATTATAAAACATGTCGGAACTGTTTTTTCTCTCGAGACTGCCATTAAGAGACATGTGTGTGTACTTTAGTACCGAGGGGGCCCTCTGGGGGTTTAGCGTCAGAGGTTTTTCCCCCGAGTCACAGTTGGACTCAATTAGGGTCAACGAAACGACCTCAGGTGTGGAAGCCGAGTTTCTTTTATTTGTTATTGTTTGTATGATTAAGTTCGATATCATTGTTTGTTCTTCTAGTAGCAGGGGGAATTATTATAGTAATCTCAAACTCTCATTGTCTGAATGCAAAACAACTTCATTAAGATCTACTCGTATAATGTGAATGGTGTTTTAAGCCCATGTAAAAGAAGTAACATTTTAAGTAAGTTAAAGAAGGAAGGAGTGGGAATTGCCTTTTTACAGGAAACCCATCTTACAGAAAAAGAACATGAAAAGCTAAAGAGAAATGGATATTCTCAGGTATATGCTGCTTCATATAAAACGGGTCACAGAAGAGGGGTGGCTATTTTGATATCAAGAAAAATCCCCTTTCAAAAATTATCTGTGATAAGTGACAAGGAGGGAAGATACGTACTGGTTAAAGGGAGAATAGAGGGAACATTAATTAGCTTATTGAATATATATGCACCACCAGGCTCAGACTGGTCTTTTTATAGACTAATATTTGATTTGATGACATCTGAAGGGGAGGGAATTATGATAGCGGGAGGGGACTTAAATCAAAGGTTAGATCCCCAAATGGATACTACATCAGTGGGGTCATTAAAAACGAAAGTAGCCAAAAACATTGGAGATTTGATGGGGGAACTTGCTATTATGGATGTTTGGAGAGATTTGCATCCTCTAACTAAGGACTTCACTTTTTATTCTTCTCCACATAAAATGTATTCAAGAATTGATTATTTTTTTATATATAACAAAGATAGGTACAGGGTGGAAAATTGTGAAATAGGGGTAATGGATCTCTCGGATCATTGTCCGGTGCACATGACCCTATTTTTGACACCTGAAAAAAAAAGAACACTCTGGCGGCTTAATGCCAATTTGCTGAGAGGAAACATTAAAGAGGAATTGAGAGTAGACATTGAGAGATTTTTGGAGGAGAATGATAATGGTGAAGTGTCCCCACCCATACTATGGGATGCATGTAAGGCTGTATTAAGAGGAAAATTGATTGCAAAATCAGCATTCTTGAAAAAACAAAAGCAAAAGAGACTAGAAACACTAAAATTAGAATTGCAAAGATTTGAACAAGAGCACAAGCAAAGTCATAATAGAGAGATATATAAAAAGTTACAAAAGAAAAAAGCAGAAATAAATGAAATTTACTCAGAAGAATTACAGAAAAAACTATTATTTACAAAGCAAAGATACTATGAGATAGGGGGGAAATCAACAAAGTTGTTAGCTTACAAGTTGAAAAAGGAACAGGCAATAAATAACATTTATAGGATGAAAAATCCCAAGACTAAAGAAGTGAAATATAAAACTGAGGACATTCAAAAGTGTTTTGAATCATATTATACAAACTTGTATGCTAAATCAAATGTGGAAGATGCTAAAAAGATGGACACGTTTTTAGACAAATTGACATTGCCAATAGTAACAGATGAGCAGAATGAAACCTTGACGTCAGAGATTACAGAAAAAGAAATTAACTCTGCAATCTCAAAGTTGAAAACCAACAAGTCCCCAGGAGCAGACGGATATACCTCAGAATGGTACAAGATATATAGAGACAAGCTGGTTCCAATTTTACAAAAAACATTCAATTGGGTGCTACAAAAAGGAGAGATGCCAGGCTCATGGCAGGAAGCCATTATATCAGTGATCCCAAAAGAAGGAAAAGATGGGCTTGAATGTGCCAGTTACAGACCTATTAGTGTTTTACATCAAGATTATAGATTGTTTACAGCAATATTGGCCCGCCGTATGGAAAATATATTGCCAGATATTATTCAGTTAGACCAGGCAGGTTTCATAAAAGGGAGACAGACACAGAACAATATCAGAAGAACATTACATGTGATGCAGCATATACAGGACAGACGAATAGAAGCAGGAATAATAAGGATGGATGCCGAAAAAGCTTTTGATTCAGTTGGAATTTCTAATAAGGGTGTTAAAAAAATTCTAATTCCAAAATACATTCATTAGGACTATACAAGCATTATACTCTGGTCCAACGGCAAGGATAAAGGTTAATGGGTCTTTATCAGAGAAGATTATATTGAATAGAGGTTGTAGGCAGGGCTGCTCGGCAAGCCCTCTGCTTTTTGCTATTTTTTTGGAACCCCTCAGTCAATTAATAAGGCAAAATGAAAATATTAAGGGAATACAAATGGTGGGAGGGATGCAAAAAATCTCACTATTCGCAGATGATGTTTTAATATATGTGTCGGATCCCAATACATCTATACCAGCTCTTATGGCAGCATTTGCAGATTTTGGGAAACTGTCAGGCTATAAAATAAATGTACGGAAAACCCAAGTCCTAGCTTTAAATTATAACCCAAAAGATTATGTAAAGAATAGCTACAACATTGACTGGAACATGAAATCCATAAAATACTTGGGAGTAATTTTGACAAAAGATTTGAATAAGTTAAAAGAGGCTAATTATGATCCATTAATATCTAAAATAAAGGAGGATTTTGAGAGGTGGAGTTTAATCCCATTTCTGTCAATTGCTCAAAGAGTGGAGGTAATCAAAGTCAACATTCTACCAAGACTACTGTACTTGTTTCAGAATCTACCTGTGGAAATTTTAAAGAAAGAATTCAATGAATGGGATAAATTTATTTCAAGATATATTTGGCAGGGGAGGAGACCAAGAATAAAGTATAGGACAATGCAGCTAGCTAAGGGAAAGGGTGGGTTAGCCCTACCCTGTTTGAGGAGTTATTACCAAGCAGCACAAATTAAAATTTTAATGAACGTTTGTAATCCTTCATATTTTTCTAAGTGGAAAGACATAGACAACTCAAAAATACAGGGGAACCCAGTGCAAGCTTTAATTGGTGACAACAAATTATACAAACAAATCAAAGGGCAAATCAATCCGTGGCTAAATGTCTCATTGAAAGAATGGTTTGAAATGGTAACAAAAAATGATTTGAATGTCCCATGCAAGATGCTGAAATGGATTGGGTATGATACAGAGTTTGATCCCAATAAAGGAGATGAACAATTTAAAATATGGCAGGGACCAAAAATGTGGTGGGAATTGGTAAAAAATGGGGAATGCAAAAACTTCCAAGAGATTAAGGATCAGTTTGGGTTAAGAAATCAGGACTTTTTTCGATTTTTGCAATTAAGGCATTATGTATCACATGATATAAAAAGGGAAAATTTCAGAGTTGACTCGGAGATGATTAGCCTGTTTATCAAGGCCTATCAATCCAAGCTAAATAAAAAAATGATTACGTGCATCTATACTGAGATAGAAAACCTGAAAAATGAAGATACACAATATATAAAACGTAGATGGGAAATTGAAGCCAATATTCATTTGACACAGGAAGAATGGGATGAGACCAATGAGCAGGTGTGGAAGACAACATGCTCATTAATGTGGAGGGAACATGGCTGGAAAAACATAGTGAGATTTTTCCGAACTCCAGCTCAAACAAAATACACAGACACAAGCTGTTGGAGACAATGTGGAGAAAAAGTGGCAAATCATGTGCATATATTCTGGTCCTGTCCCTCAGTGCAGAGATACTGGAAAGATTTGAAGGCATGTATGGACACGGTTTTACGTACGGATTTGCCATTTACATTTGAATTGTTTTTCTTGGGAAAACTTAATGTGAGACTTAAAAATTATTTGAATTTGAAGTTGTTTAGAATTATGCTGTTAGCTGGGAAAAAGGGTATCACGCGAAATTGGCTGAAGGTGAGGAGCCCATCCAAAGAAAATTGGTTAGAGGTGATGAAAGATATTTTTACAATGGAGAAGATGACCGCAAGTATAAGGCTGGAAAGTGAAAAATTTGAAGAACTATGGAAACATTGGCTTAAATTTGTGAGAACGATTAGACAAGATTTTATTTGAAAAGAGAATTTTAAATCCCCAAGTTTAGTCATGCTACTTTTGTGTGTTTGTGTTCTATTTTTTATTTTTATTTTTTTTTGTTTATAAAAAATGGGACAAAGTGTCAATGTATAATGTGAAACACTGTAATGTACATGTCATGTCCACGAAAAATCAATAAACAATAAATGTAAAAAAAAGAATGCACTGGATAATTCTGTTTCCGGGTACACCCCCACCGGCAAGGAGTGAGATTGTAACCATGTCAGGGCCCATCACAGCACTAACCAGGCCTGCCCTGCTTAGCTTCAGAGGTCTGACAGGATCTGGCTTTCACCTGCAGGTGTTCTGTCACATGGAGCTGCAAATTTTCAACTCAAAATTGAAAAAAAAAAAAAAAAGAATCTCTTCAGTTGTTCCTTCTTTGTACGTTCTTTGTACTTGATCAAGTCCAGTCTGTTGATCTTTAATTGCGCCGTCAGAGCCTGTTTTTCGTTCACCTCTGATCCATGAAAAATCTGGATCTAACTAAACCGAAAGCAAAGAGGCAGCGACCACGACACGCTCTGACTTTTCTTCACACAAATACAGTCGACCCGATCCGCCTGCCGCGATATCAGAGAAAGCCAACACTTTGTAAATTTACATTCAAAGTTAAAAGTAAAAGGGCGACAGTAGCTCAGTTGGTAGAGCATTGGCCTTCAGGCCTGAAGGTCGTGGGTTCAATTCCCACCTCTGCACTTTCTCCACCGACTCCCACTGATGACTGCTGTCGTTGTGTCCTTGGGCAAGACACTTAACCCCACTTTGCCCAAAGCCCCCACTGAAAGATCAAGGCTATGCTCACAGTCAGAGAGCAGCCGTCCTCCTGTGGACTCACCACCTGCAGAGGGTCAGTGAGGGGCTGGTGCTATGAGACTTGGGTGGTATCTCTGACTGCCACCCCCCTGACCCAGAAATGGATTAAAGGGTAGAACATGGATGGATGGAAGTTAAATATAGTATTTCCAGTGATTATACTGCCGTAACGAAGCAGCCGTCCACACAGCACGTCCTTTATCAGAGCAGCTCCGGCTTAAACACCGCCCGTTGTGCTTTTTTACAATCCAGAACAGACTTTCATTATTGAATTAATTTCCTGTAACAACGTGGGAAATCTTTTACAAGACGCTGCTACATTCAATGCCAACCTTTAGGGCAATAAGACAATTTGCTTTTCTCGCTTCCGTTTTAGTTCAAGTCTACTTCTTTAAGCATGTCTCACATTAAGACTTACTTTTTTTGTTTTACTCTTAGTGCTAAATTCTCATCACGCTGGCTTCTCTTCATTATGCATGAGACAACAGCTCGTTTTCGTGCTGAAAACCTTACTCGCATTGTTCGCCAATCTCCCCCATTAGCGGCCTAATCTGCTATTGGTCTGGCGTGTGGCTTGTTAGCGGGGCCAAAGCAGGGGATTAAAAGCTGTAATACAATTGCTAAAATGAGAATAGACAGACATTGAGCCGGCCCCACTGTAACAGCAGTGCAGAGTAATCCCAGCCACAGGATACGAGCCGACACTTCACCGTTTCTACAGCGGGAAGAAACTTTAGACCAGAGCACCTCCCTAAGTGTCTTTGCTTACCTTTCAGCGCTGTGACCAGGAGATGAACCCAAAGAACATAGCATTAAAAAAAGATTTACGTTTCCCCGTTCAAGCCATGCATGCAAACACCTCGCTTACATCTCCACTTAAAACACTTGACCCTAAAGTCTCTGGAAAAGGTGCCTTTTCACGGCTGTCAACACTACGCACTGGAACTAAAAAATAACGGCCGCGGCGAGTCGAGGGCCCCGCCTTCACGAATGTCAGGATGCATTTTGACCTGTTAGTGCCGGGAGCGGTAGAAGATTCTAGTGCGAACAAAAATAGAAAAATCTTGGAAAATCAATAATAATAATAATAATAATACATTTTATTTCTTCGCCGCCTTTCTTGACACTCAAGGTTAAAAACAGTTAAAATACAGTTAAATACAAAGTTAAAAGTGTCAAAATGACTGTTGTTCTGTCATTCTACGTGTGTCATTGCATCGAAAGTGAGATATGCCGAGCTTTGGTCTGTTTAGTCCATTTTTTAAATCATTGACCATTTCTGAGAGGTTTTAAATGGGTTTGTTTTACAGCTGTGAGCTAATTATCAATATCAATACACCTAAAGGCTCGATGTGTGGCAAGGCAAATGTATTTGTAAAGCACAGTTTGGTATAACAATACAAAACAAGAAAAGGAACATTAAAATCCCACAAAGCGTTCAAATCAGCACACATTTACTGCTAAACAAAACTGTTTTTAACCTGGACTTGTCAGAGAAGAAGACTGTCTCACATTTTTAGAAGTTTTTTGCTCCATAAATCTGAAATCTTGCCTCCCCATGTTTAGTCTTCCAGCCATCCATCCATTTTCTTCCCCTTAATCCATGTCTGGGTCAGGGGGTGGCAGTCAGAGCACCAGCCCCTCACTGATCCTCCTGCAGGAGCTGAGTCCACAGGAGCTGAGATCTTTCAGCGGGGGCTTCAGGCAAAGTGGGGTTAAGTGTCTTGCCCAAGGACACAACGACAGCAGACATTAGTGGGAGTCGTGAACTCGGTCTTATGGTGGGCTAGAACCCACGACCTTCAGGCTCAAAGGCCAACGCTCTACCAACTGATCCACTGTCGTCTCCATATCTTATCTTGACATATCTTATCACTTGTCTTATGTTAGTTTCTCAGTGTAAGTTTATTGACAGAAATAATGTGGAGGGAGGTAGGGATAGCATAAAATAAAAAACACAGATTGTACTTGTCTGTACATAAATAAAGAACGAAAACAAAAATAAGAATGTCAAGTAAATAGACTTTTCTAATCAATATTTCACCTGTGTTACTATTTCTAATCCATGCTCTTTTTTTCAGGGTTGCTTTGAGAAAGTGGAGGAATGGCTGGACGACAACAAGCACTTGCTAGGAACCATCGGCATGGTCATCTTAGTCGTGCAGGTATGTGCTTTTATTACGTGACACAAGCATCACTTTTCGCAGGTTATTTTCTCCACTGTCTGACTGGTAAGAAAACACAGGCCTCTGGTGGCCACTGTGGGCGTTCTGGTTACCCACGCATTCTCCAGTATAAATGTACCTCTCCACTCTGGGCCTGTCTGTGAATATCAAAGCTGCCAGATCCCTGCCAAGACGCCGGTTGTGAAATCCGAGGATTCGCTTGAGATGGAGTGAATATAGAGGCGCTGAGGACAATATGGCAGAGACCAGCGGCGAAGGGAGGAAGGGGGAGCAGCTTATGTGTCCTGCTTCACAGCTTTTGCTATAGTGTAACAATTTCTCTTGTCAGTAATCTTCTTTTCGAGGCTATTACACTGACATCCGGGTCACTGCCCTTCTGTTTCATTCAGCGAACATGCAGAAAAACAATCTTCTGTCTTCGCTGAGTACTAAATAACTTAATTGGCAACGCTTCATTCAGGCATGACCTACTAATCATTTACAGTGATCAAAGTCTAAGCACAGAAAACGATAATTGTGAGGTGATAATTGCTTAAATAAAGTGTCTCAATTTGAGCACATTCTGACTTTCTTAAAACAATAACACGAGCATTTAGTATTATTTCATGAACTTTTGCCATGGGCGTCACGGTGGCTGAGTGGATAGGGTCCTGGGTTCGAATCCCGGTCGGAACAGGGCCTTTCTGAGTGGAGTTTGCAGGTTCACCCCGTGTCTGCGAAGGTTTCCTCCGGTTGCTCCAGTTTCCCCTACCATTAAAAACATGCACAATAGGTTTGAATGTAATGAATGGAGGGTGTTTGGTCAGAGGCTTTGATGGTCCGGTGTGTTCGGCGTCTCGCTTCCGTCATGACCGTGTGGAGAGAATGGAACCATATGTGACTCAGAACATTGTGAAGCGCTTTGGGTGACTTTGGTCTGTAAAAGTGCACCATATAAATAAAGTACGATTTCCTCATTCCAGGGGAGACATTTCTTGTATCTTTTTAAATTGGCATATCTTGTTTTTAAGATGTTGTCAGAATGTACTCAAATTAACATATATTTAGCCAAACTTCAGCAATTTTGACTTAATTTTAAGTTTTCCACTGTACATATTATGCAGCCTCACAATTAGTCAATATTATCATTGCAAAAACATTTATTATATTTACAGCAGGGAAATCTGTTGAGAACCGCTAAAGAACATTTATAGTAATCAAGCAAAATGGTTTGTATGTGGGAGAGGAAAAGAAACGACATGGAATAAACATAAAAACGCCTTTTGGTCGTGTGGCATAAAATCTGCTTGAATTAGAACTAACCATATTTGATTTCATGTGGTCATCCATTTTAATGTTGTTTGTCTGTGATCGGGTTGTTTTGTGTTATTCTAAAGGCATGAAGTGGACAACAAGCTGTGCATCTGTTTGAATGAGAAATGTGTGTCTGGACCCGGGGCGTAGCATTAGCATGTTAGCAACTGTCCGACTGCACCGCGGGGACAGGCTAAAACATGCTCCTCTCAGAGATTGTTGAGCAAAACAAATGTATAAAGTAGAAAATAAAACGGGTATAGGAAGAAGTGCAATTACAGTGGATCTCTTGAAAAAATCTCTTGAAAAAAAAAATGAAAATAGTTAAAATACTGCATAAAATAAGAAAATGGTGGCTGAGTGGATAGCACTCTCACCTCTCAGCAAGAAGGTCCTGGGTTCAAATCCCGGTCGGAACGGGGTCTTTCTGAGTAGAGTTTGCATGTTCTCCCCGTGTCTGCGTAGGTTTCCTCCGGGTGCTCCGGTTTCCCCTACCACTAAAAACATGCTCACTTGGTTAAATCCTCCAGCTCTGGTCCTGACCAAGAGCATCAACATCTGGAGATGGGTTCCCGGCGCTGTTACTACGGCGACCACTGCTCCTGATGTAAGCCTTAGGGGCATCAGGGTCAAATGCAGAGGATTGAATTTCCCTACGGGGACAATAAAGTGCACCTTTACCTTTACCTTTACATGATCTGAAAATGGAACAAGAAAATATAAATATATATTTCTGAAAAAATGAGAATAATACTAACCCCAAATGACCTGATTCTAGTTTAAAAACATACATTTCAAGTATTACTTAGTTATTTATATTATAATTATTTATAAGTATATGTGCAGTTTTTATAGTTACAAATATTTTTGAAAAATTATTTTGTAAAATATCGCATAACAAACTTATATTTATAACTTATACTTGCATTTTATCTAAAGAAAAAAAGTTGTCTGGAAATAATAAAAAATAAAACAATCTTAAAAACTCACAGCTGAGACTTTTTTTATTTTTTTATATTATGAAGTATTATTCTCTTAAACCTAGTAAAATAATCTTACATGACAAACTACATTCAAGCAAAAAGAAACTTGTTATTTTTAGTAAATAAATCTAACCAAGATGTTCCTTTTTCCATCTGAATCGCAGATCTGCATGTTTGCAGATTAAGGACTCGCTGACGCCACTGTTTTTGGAGATTAAATCAAATGGAGGACGTTAGCCTTCGCAATATTAAGTTACTGAATTTCAATGTGTCTACAGCGATATTGACGCAGTTTAAAAATCACATGACGGTCATTTGTTTGTTCGTTCTGACGTCAAATCAAATCAAAGTTCCTGATTCCATTAGATCTGGTTCAAGGATGTTGTGGGAAGAAAATGCATCTATCTCCCTCGTGTCAAATTCTGTCTTTAATCATGTCCATAAGGTTCAGGTTTACAAATGAATTCAACACCAGCCTCGGAGGACTTCACAAAGTTGTCGATTTCTTGAAAGCAGATCAGAGAATAAAACATTTAGAACACAGGATTGTCCCTGCTGTGGAATTTTAGATTTTTAGTGTTTAAAATGGAACAGGGATCAATAGGTTCTCAATATTTATCTGTATTGGCCAATTTTCTTGTATTAATTGTTTTGCATCCCGAGCTTAGATGGAAACAATACAGTCCTGTTCCACCAGCCCTTTTCTTCACTTTTCTACTCTCTTTATGCAACCTGGTTATGTCTCTTGTACACTTACACCAGTATCTTTTACCTTGTTCTAGAAACTTACCAAAAACAACTAGTATCCGGGTAAATTCCTTGGTAACAATGGCTTCCAGCTGCACTCAGGCCCATCTCTGTCAGTTAGAACACACACTGAAAAAGAGGTTCTTAATCTCAATGGGACTTTCATGGTTGAATAAAACATAAATAGTGCCAGCTCGACCCGGATAGAACCAGTACCAAGCAGGTATAGGGCTGCCTCTGCCTCTGTGTTCTAAACATGCATACGTTTAGTTCCAGCCCACCCCTCACTGACCCTGTCCTCCTCTGGCCTCTGGATGTGACTTTGCTCCATCGCACACACTCGCCACACTCCTACGCTCGGCTGCGGCGCTGGGAGAGTCATTCCACTTTAAATATATCTTAATTTTAGAAACGTGTTAGCTACTGCTGCTACACACCTGGGCCCTGACACTGTCCAGCCTCTGCCTCTGTCTCTGTCTCTGTCTCTGCCTCTGCCTCTGCCTCTGCCTCTGTCTCTGTCTCTGTCTCTGTCTCTGTCTCTGTCTCTGTCTGTCTCTGTCTGTCTCTGTCTGTCTCTGTCTGTCTCTGTCTGTCTCTGTCTCTGTCTCTGTCTCTGTCTCTGCCTCTGCCTCTGCCTCTGCCTCTGCCTCTGTCTCTGTCTCTGTCTCTGTCTCTGCCTCTGTCTCTGCCTCTGCCTCTGCCTCTGCCTCTGTCTCTGTCTCTGTCTCTGTCTCTGTCTGTCTCTGTCTCTGTCTCTGTCTCTGTCTCTGTCTCTGCCTCTGCCTCTGTCTCTGTCTCTGTCTCTGTCTCTGTCTGTCTCTGCCTCTGCCTCTGCCTCTGCCTCTGCCTCTGTCTCTTTCTGTCTCTGCCTCTGTCTCTGTCTCTGCCTCTGTCTCTGTCTCTGTCTCTGTCTCTGCCTCTGCCTCTGCCTCTGCCTCTGCCTCTGTCTCTGTCTCTGTCTCTGCCTCTGTCTCTGCCTCTGTCTCTGCCTCTGCCTCTGCCTCTGTCTCTGTCTCTGTCTCTGTCTCTGCCTCTGTCTCTGTCTCTGTCTCTGTCTCTGTCTCTGTCTCTGTCTGTCTCTGTCTCTGTCTGTCTCTGTCTCTGTCTCTGTCTCTGTCTCTGCCTCTGCCTCTGCCTCTGCCTCTGTCTCTGCCTCTGCCTCTGTCTCTGCCTCTGCCTCTGCCTCTGCCTCTGTCTCTGTCTCTGTCTCTGTCTCTGTCTCTGCCTCTGCCTCTGTCTCTGTCTCTGTCTCTGCCTCTGCCTCTGCCTCTGTCTCTGTCTCTGTCTCTGCCTCTGTCTCTGTCTCTGTCTCTGCCTCTGCCTCTGTCTCTGTCTCTGTCTCTGTCTCTGCCTCTGTCTCTGTCTCTGTCTCTGTCTGTCTCTGTCTCTGTCTGTCTCTGTCTCTGTCTCTGTCTCTGCCTCTGCCTCTGCCTCTGTCTCTTTCTGTCTCTGCCTCTGCCTCTGTCTCTGCCTCTGTCTCTGCCTCTGTCTCTGCCTCTGCCTCTGCCTCTGCCTCTGTCTCTGTCTCTGCCTCTGTCTCTGTCTCTGCCTCTGCCTCTGCCTCTGTCTCTGTCTCTGTCTCTGTCTCTGCCTCTGTCTCTGTCTCTGTCTCTGTCTCTGTCTCTGTCTCTGTCTCTGCCTCTGTCTCTGCCTCTGTCTCTGCCTCTGCCTCTGTCTCTGTCTCTGTCTCTGCCTCTGCCTCTGTCTCTGTCTCTGTCTCTGTCTCTGTCTCTGTCTCTGCCTCTGCCTCTGCCTCTGCCTCTGTCTCTTTCTGTCTCTGCCTCTGTCTCTGTCTCTGCCTCTGTCTCTGTCTCTGTCTCTGTCTCTGCCTCTGCCTCTGCCTCTGCCTCTGTCTCTGCCTCTGTCTCTGTCTCTGTCTCTGCCTCTGTCTCTGCCTCTGTCTCTGCCTCTGCCTCTGCCTCTGCCTCTGTCTCTGTCTCTGTCTCTGTCTCTGTCTCTGTCTCTGTCTCTGTCTCTGTCTCTGTCTCTGTCTCTGTCTGTCTCTGTCTCTGTCTCTGTCTGTCTCTGTCTCTGTCTCTGTCTCTGTCTCTGCCTCTGCCTCTGCCTCTGTCTCTGTCTCTGTCTCTGTCTCTGCCTCTGTCTCTGCCTCTGCCTCTGCCTCTGTCTCTGTCTCTGCCTCTGTCTCTGTCTCTGCCTCTGCCTCTGTCTCTGTCTCTGCCTCTGCCTCTG